GACAGGGGACAGGGGACAGGGGGCGGGGGACAGGGAGACAGAGGGACAGGGAGCAGAGGGACAGGGAGCAGGGGGACAGAGGGACAGGGGACGGGGGACAGCGGGACAGGGGGCAGGTGGACAGGGGGCAGGGGGACAGCCTCTGAGCTGGAGACCAGGAGGGACCCTGCAGCTGTGGGAGCCTCTGAGCTGGTGGCAGTGGAGGGACAGGGGGGCTGGGGACACCTCTGGGACCGTCCGGGTGGTGATGGGAGCACGGGGCTGGAGACGAGGAGGGGACAATGAGGGTGGGGGTGCAGCTGCCGGACGGGATGCCCGATTTTGGTACCCCTGTGTCCCTGCCCCGCTCCTTGTCCCCGCACAAAGCCCCCCCACCCCGGCCCGACCCCTCCCGTGGGTCCCCTCCCCATCGGCCGCTGTCCAGGGGCTGCAGCCGGGCGGGCTCGGCTCAGCAGTCCCGCAGGCCACGCCCACCTAGCGCCACACCCCGCTAAGCCACGCCCACACATCGGGCACCGCCCACCACCATCGCTGTCAAAGTCACACCCACCTAATTTGCATACATATCCCGCCTGCCTATCAAACCCCGCCCTTGTGTGATCTAACAGCCGATTAACCACGCCCTCTTATTTGCATATGAGCTGCCGCACTCAAGTCACCGCCCCCTCAGTGGCCCCGCCCACCTAATTACCATTCTCGCCCCGCCCACTCCTGTGGTGCCCCACCCCCAGAGCCCGCCCCCGCCGGTCGGTTCCGGTCAGTGCAGGGAGCCGGTGACCGGCCGGAGCCTCAGCCTCTCCCCGGTGTCCCCCCGTGTCCTCCCCGGTGTCCCCCCGTGTCCCCCGGTGTCACCCCGTGTCCTCCCCGGTGTCCCCCCGTGTCCTCCCCGGTGTCCCCCCGTGTCCCCCGGTGTCCCCCCGTGTCCTCCCCGGTGTCCCTCCGTGTCCCCCCCGTGTCCCCCGGTCTCCCCCGAGCCGTGCGCGAGGCCGGACCCCGCCCTTCTCCAGCGCCCTGGGTTCCCCCGCCTGTCACTCCTTGTCACCCATCCCCTCGTCCCCCCGGCCCTGTGAGCCCCATCCCCCCGTGATGCCCCTACTCCGTGTCCCCCCGGTGTCCCCCCGTGTCCCCCGTGTCCCCCGTGTCCCCCGTGTCCCCCGTGTCCCCCGTGTCCCCCGTGTCCCCCGTGTCCCCCGTGTCCCCCGTGTCCCCCGTGTCCCCCGTGTCCCCCGTGTCCCCCGTGTCCCCCGTGTCCCCCGTGTCCCCCGTGTCCCCCGTGCCCCCCGTGTCCCCCGTGTCCCCCGTGCCCCCCGCGGGAAGGACGAGCCGGGTCACAGCACCAGTGTCCGACATTGTCACGTACTTACAGTCACACCCGAGGGATGAAAACACTGTACACGGCCCGGACCCCCGGGCGGCCCCCGGGCCCGGGCCGCCCCCCGACCCCTCCCGCCCCCCCGCCCCGCCCGGGCTCCCTGGCTCC